AATTTGGAAGAAATTGAAGGGGTACACCCCTTGAAAAATCTCGGAAAAATCGAAAATTTTTTTTTTTACAAGATATCGAAATATGCTTCAAGTAAAAGTTGTAGGTGATACTATTACCTATGAAAAATTTGAAATCACTATAATTTTAGCTTTTTAATAGTAATAGGAATCTATAATAACAAATTCAATATGCCAGCATTGTTTAAGTATATGTATAGCCTATACATCCTTAAGTGCAATATGGTGTTGCGCATTAAACTGGAATTACAGTTAAACCGAAATAGCAGCTGTTTTGTAACGAACTTCTCAGATACCGCGAAGTGATTTGAGATTGCTCTCGAGTAAGATATTAGACCTGTACCAAACGGAACAAGTAAAAGGAGGAAGAGAGTTATAATGAGAATTGGTAAGCAGAAAGAAACGAGCTGGGACTCACCGATGAAAAGGAAAAAGATGAGCAAGCCGAGCTCCCTCATGGAGGCCTTGAGCGTACGGCCGAGGATCTGAAGGCCTTTACTGTGCCTGGACAGCTTGAATATCCGGAACACCCTTACGAGCCTTATTACCCTGAGTATCGCCAGGGACATCGCCTGGTTGGTGCTCTTGTCCTGCGGGCTTACCGGCGCCTTCGGTTCGTCGATGACCCCCTTATCCTCGGCCATCACGGTGCCGAGGGTGATGAAGTAGGGAATGATCGCGATGATGTCGATGAAGTTCATTACGTCACGGAAGAAGTTCAGTTTATTTGGACAGGCGAGGAAGCGCACCGATAACTCGAACGTGAACCAGATGATACAAATAGTCTCTATTAGGAAGAACGGGTCCGTAATGTCCGGCACTTCGTCCTCCTCGATCTTCGTGCCGTTCGTCGTCGTGTTGAAGACCTTGTAGTGTTTGAACTCCGGCAGAGTCTCCAGACAGAATATCACGATCGAGAGGAGGATCACGATCACGGATATTATCGCGACCACCCTGGCGCCCTGCGAGCTCTCCGGGTACTCGAACAGCAGCCAGACCTTCCTTTGGAACTCGTGCGACGGCAGCGGCTTCTCCTCCTCCTTGATGAACCCTTCGTCCTCCCTGTGAACATTTTCAACGAACAGCTCTCGTCACAATCGCCGATGGAATTCACAACATCAAACCAACAATCAAGTTTATATAAAGATTGTCAAGTATATTATTTGTAATCTCGAGTCGCAGACGGTATACCTGAATTTGTTGGTGGCCAGCTCGCCCAGCTCGTAGAACTTGATCTCCTCGGAGAAGACATCGAGAGGAACGTTGACCGGGCGACGTAGCCTGCCACCGCTCTGGTAGTAATAAAGTATCGCGTCGAAGGAGGGCCGATTCCGATCGAAGAAGTACTCGTTGCGAAGCGGATCGAAGTATCGGATCCGCCGGTTCGGATCGCCAAGGAGCGTGTCCGGAAATTGGTTCAGCGTACGCAGCTGCGTCTCAAACCGTAACCCGCTCACCTGTCAGGAATCACCGTCAGAGAGAGAATCGATTATTGGTGATCCGGCGGACTCCGGAATTCTCTGTCCCTAACTCTCCCTTCGCCCTTTCACGGTAATTCCCATTCGTCATCCGCGCTCGCCTAATTGGAACGACGTGCCTTAACCGAACTAATCCGCCTCGAACCGCTAATTTTCTAAGCGAAATCGTATCGATTCGCAGCCTCTTCCCCCCGCGGATAGAATTTCTCTCCAATAAAATTCAATCATCGGAAACATTCCATGCATATAATTGAACGAAAGTTAAGCTTGAAACGAGTGAGCGTCTCGGAGTCTGTAAAACGTCGATACCTCGCAAGACGATTGATTATTTTCGATTAAGCGAGTGATCGTTATTAGCCGTAACGGCGGAAGGTGACGTCGATTATGAGGGAATAAGCGGAGAGCTGATTTGTTTTGGCTCGAGAAGAACGAGCTTTTTCTTTCGATCCTCCTCGCCGGAGCGGAAAACTAATAAACGAAAACTAGGGTAATTGCGTCCCGCCATTAGGACGATTAAGGAGAAAAAGAAGAAGCATCGGTTATAACTGTCGCGGCGAGGCGGTGAGAGCATTTTTATCGATGATGGCCGCCGAAAGACGGTCGCCCGAGATGAGAGAATGCAACACCACCGTTCAAGAATGATCATTTACTTTTATTTAAACGATTTCTCGTATAGATCATTGATCATAGATTTTTCGAAGACGCGACAATATATTCTTTCGTTTAAATTCTTCTAATCCTCGAAATGTTTAATCAATACTTATAATAAAATTCGTATAGAATTTATCAGATGATTTTCAGCTTTGCCCTCAAGTCCAGCTCTGTTTGGATACGAAATGTAGAGTCCATAAAAATATTACTACCGCCGGACATTATAGCGCACAATTTGATAGGAACGACGGCGACAACGAGTGAGCCTGTCGAGAACAGAAATGGGATTGCACCCGCGACGGCGCGGACACACGCGTTTACGCGATCGATATTTACTCCCGTTATCGAACGCGTGATACCGCGTCCGCGGCCACGATTTCTCCCGCGGAAATCGTCTTCTGATCTGCCACCACAGTTAACAATCTTCGACGCTTCACAAGAAATTTTCGTGAAAATCGACAGATACAATAAACAAAGTATAGAATTCTTGAATTTTTTTCTTTTTCACATTACAAAAATTGACGACTCCTCGTTGGAAGTTTTGTCAAGGGTAACATTTTCGTAATGGCATGAGTAATAGACTAAAGATTTTCATCGTAAAACCGTTTCTTGTAAATAACTGGAAAACCCAAGCAGACATTCGTCTCACTCATCGAATACTAAAATACGCGAGCGACTTTTATGTGTCTCTGTATAACATGCGCAGCCTGAAGATCTTCGGTCTAATCGATTCCACGCGTGTATCGGATTGGTATCGCGAATTTTTCGGGAGTAACGGATCGAACAGTAACTGTAATTGGCGCAATGCAGTCGTGTCATCCACGAGGACAGATAATTCCGTTCACACAATACGACCTTGGTACTATATTGCCCCTGATTCCAAGACGAACTTGGCCGGCTGCCAAAATACGGTCTGTAGGTCACTTCGTGTCTTGAGATAATCTTGCCCCGTTCAAAAAATAAAAGAAACATACGTGTAAGAAACGGAGTCGAACGTTTAGCACCGCGAGTTGAAAAACGCGGTGGAAATCGATCCGAGCGCGGCCCGAACCGATACAATTACATAAAATGCAGTAGCACTACGTTTATTAATTGGGATTAAATCTAAACCTATTAAGGAATTAAAGAAACCGAATCATCAATTTCATATCAAGCTCGAAACCTATATTCGTTCGATAAAATTGAATTGGAAATTGTAATAATTTTAAGTACATCGATTTAGCTCCCAGATAACTATTTTCCTTTTACTTAGAAGACTTTTCTATTACTTTTCTAGATCGTATATAATACGCTATCCCGTGCGATACGAATTAATTCCTAAAACGACTTTCTACATTCCTAAAATGGATTGAAAATGGTGAGGTATTTGAGTCAGCCCCTTAACACCGTTCACCCTATTGGTATATCATGTTCACAATTGTTTGCGCCTGGTAAGTGAATCGGGAAAGTCGATTTACATCGGACCGGACTCGTTCAACGCCGGACTATCTCTGTTTCCCTCTTTTCTTTCTCTCCTTTTTCCGTTCCAACGCCGACGTTCCGTTTTATCGTTTTTCTTTGGCACGTCGAACCGGGATGCGACAAGCATACTTCGTTATTCCGGACAATTGCGATCATCAAATACGGGTCGGTACTTTTTTCTCGCCGGCGAGCCTACATGCACGTATATGCATCCGGTGCGCTGGCGCGGCGCGGTGAATTTCGACTCCAATTATCTCGCGGCTCCCGGCGGAACGGCCGCCAGTGGTAGTGATATGAATTTCGCCCGACGCTCCGCGAGAATTTCGAATACGCCAGACGGAAACGGCGCGATGGAAATTTCTATCGTCCTTTTTCCGCGATCCTCCCGCTACCGCCGCATTGTTTCCGAGCGAAAGATAGCTGCTCTAATAATTAATTAGCCGAGATTGAATGGAACGAGAATCGTTTGTCGAGTATAATCCGTGTAAAGTTACTCGCTCTTCTATTGCACAATTGTTTAACATCTTGAAAATCAAGCTTTTACCATATGTAGAGAATATTTAAGTTTCGTACAGAGAGAATCGAATTCTCCTGGATTATATTTTTTTTTTAGGGGAACCGCGGCAAAAAAAAATGCACTCCGAGTAGGTTGGGCTAACGACAGAGAGAGAGAGAGAGAGAGAGAGAGAGAGAGAGAGAGAGAGAGAGATTAAGGAAGGGTGAATGCTCACGTTAATGACGACCCTCTCGCAAAAGTCATGATCGTGCGGTATGGGCTCGAACTGTGTGACGCCTGTATATTGGGTGTGGGGGTTCGGCCCATCCTCGTCCTGGCTGCTGAGCTTCGGCAGCGATCTGGAAAAGAGAAACACACAAGACCGGCGTCGTTAAAGCGTTCCCCCCGTTTTTAGTTCATCACGCCGCGATTATAAATATAATATACACATATACATATGTACATATACGTAACACATACACGAGACGTACACGCTGCTCTTTATATACATACATACATACATATGTTAGGACCGTACGAAACGAAAACTAGGTTGCGCTCTACCGCTGGACTAACAGCCACCTATATACCGAGCTATTCTCTTAATGAGCTACTAGACTGGTAAGCCACTAGGTCGACAGCCTAGTGTAGAATGCGATACTAGATTGCTTGATAGATCGGTCGGATCGACGGATCGATCAAGCGTTTAAACGCCTGGCAATCGATCGATCGGGACGACGATGATATGCGCGCAGCCGCGGCGTTAAGCGAAGCTTAACTTCGCGCGATGGAATGTTCCTTAATTAGCGGTCTACTGGAATGGAAAATTGCTGCGCTGCCACGGCTTGGGCTACTGCGATCCGAGATTAACCTGAGGGATAGACAAATCGTGTTAACGCGACTGTTAAACGGTCGAAAAGGCGCGGACGATTTCCGGCTGCAAATCTTGGTTTAATGAGCGGCACGCTGATCTGATTACTTGGCTCTTAGACGAATTAAGTTGTAACATTACCGAAAACATTGATTCGCTTCGCTTTCCGTGTGAATTGCATATTAATAGCATTGAAGAATCGAGAAGACGTAGCAGTTTCCATTGACGAGTGTTGATATGAGAGATGGATAGGTGACGGACGGATGGGAAAGTTTTCCGTCTGTGTGCGCTAAATACGTACGCCATTTTGCGCAGATCCACATTGATCGAGAGTTTGATAGTCGATCGCGCGACGTGACAGGCATTGAGCCAACCGGCATCGCCGAATCTTAATTAACACCTGTCCTCCGCGAATAGTTGAAATAACGAGCGACAGGCTCGTCGCCAAGAACCGACCGCGTGTCACGGGCATCGTCGTTTCCCGTGCAGTGTCAACCGAATTCTCGAGAGCTGCCGGCCGGCCGGCCGGGCAATCCTCTCGAACGGAAAGTTAGAGAGACCGTTTTTACTTGGAAGTTTTAAGAACATTTGCTTGCTCCCGCACGACGAGAGGATCGTACGTCTCTTTATTTTCACAGGATCAAAGTGGAAGATCTTCAAAATTATGTTTTAAATGAGAGATCCTCTCCCGGAGGATCCTGCTGAATTTTCCTCCTTTGAAGAGACGTACAAAAGGAGTTTGCGAGGGATAGGGGCGCGTAAAACCTCGGGTTAATCTGCAGATGCCTCTGCAGCGAAAAATACATTGTTCCCTCGTTTTACAACTACGAGAGTATCTTCTAAGAAATTCTGTTCAAACGTAATCATGCAGAACTAATAAAACTACGACGCAAGTTACTATTTACTTTGTATTTCCTGTGATTGATCAAAAGTTTTTTTTACAGGAAACGTGACACTACAATTAAACGAAAGAAAATGTCCAAAAAGGAGCTGAAGCGACCAAACGCTCCAGAGGGAAAACGTTCCCTTCGTTGGAAATTAGAGAACGAGAATCGCGACGTCGAGGAAAGACGGCAACCAGGGAAAATTGATCAAAAGTGAAACGCGAGAGAGAGAGAGAGAGAGAGAGAGACCGAGCAAGTTGTGTGCCGCCAAAGAGCATCTCCATGCTCCACTTCGCGCGGTCGCCTGGGTCGATTCCGAACATCTCTCTCGCTGTTGCACATCGTCTTTCCACGTTCAAATTTAGTATGCAGCCTACCATCCACATCGAACATCGCATGACACAGACGTACAGATGTACAGCACATATATTTTATTAATTTCCCTATAGAAAAAGCAATTACGTGCTTCCACTTCAAATTTAGTATGCAACCTATCACTCCAACGAACATTAGATTCCACAGACGTATAGACGTATAGTGAATATACTTTATTAATTTTCTTACAGAGAAAATAATTAGTTACTTCTTTCCAAATGATGAATCCTCATTTCCTTATCACATAAAATGTCTATGAATAAATCAACATGAATGAAATAATCTTTGAACAATTCTAAATCGAGGATTCTTCACCGACAAATGAATTGTTTCCATTAAAAAGCTTGGCATTTTAATTCGCACTGATACTGTTATCATTCCGTGGTATGGAGTTATTTAATCGTTATCAGATCGCGGGACGAAGGCCATTGGTTGAGGCGAATTCTCGAAGGCGCGGCGTTATCATTCGCCGCAGCCGAGCATTGTCGCCGGAGACAAATGTTTCTCGGTTCTCCTTCGGAGGCCGATTCCGGCGCGAGATAAAGGACAGATTAGCCCCCGGAAACGCAACGATCCAGGCTGGCACCCGGCCGCTCGTGAATCGTCGCGTCGGGCAACGCGGCGAACAAAAGAGTGCCAGACGAATTTTCCGAGCTCAAAAGCTCTTTGTTAGTCGACGGCTCGATGCCGGATGCTGAACCTCTTTCACGTTCGCCGCTAAACCCTTCTCGATACCGGCTCTCATCGCTTCTTGCTCACCGAATGACGGAACTTGATGGGTATTGCTTCGGTGAGGAGATTCGAACAAGATTCCCATTTGCATGAATATTGAACCGTGCGATTTATGCGATTTTCGAGAGCCTGTTTTAGTTAGTATGCGATTTCGTCGACTCTCTACGTCAAATGGAAATGAGCTTCCCCTTTTCATAGAGGATATCATAAATTAATGAATACAATTTATCGTAACTTCATAGATGATCACCACAAACGTCCCCCTAGGCAAAATTAACACAATCAAAAACGGTTCGAGAATCATTGCCTCAAGCTGTACATATTATGAAATGCAAAAACAAATTGGCAATGTTCCTTTTTTACCTAATAAACTATGGAACCTTTGATTGAATGCTAGACGCTCAGCAGAGATTAGGCTTGTCAACTGGTCAGACACCTAGCCACCGGCGAAACGAAAGACCGTACGGTAATTTTCTTCGCAAAAACGTCTAAAAATCAATGCCCCAATTTAGTTGTTCGATTATGTAGTGTGGGTGGGACAACGGCCAACTATTTATCAACGTCCGTCGATATGACGTAAGCGGTAAAATATCGAAGCACGCAGAAACTACGTCCAGTCGCGGCTCGGGACGAGGAAAGACAGTGGGAAGAAAATGTTGGTAGAGCTAACCAACTCTGCCGCGTCGAATTAGTTCACCGTGATGGATGGTTTATTCCTAGAGCACCCGATGACAATCGATGCACTCCGTGCAGCCGGAGCGTAACTCAGAATAGCTTGACGTATCGCAAAAATAGATACGCTCTGCTTCAACGAAGACCACGTGCTTTCTTTTCTCGTATTTCGCGTTTGCAATTCGTTCGGCATAACGTATTAAAAAAAATTAATCACGTTCTTCAAAATGTGAAAATGTTCATCTAAACAATCTGTTTTCTGTAGTGATTTTATTTTATCTAATTTTATACGAATCGTCGTGATAGCATTTTTATTTATATTGCATTGGAATTTGTGCATTTAGGCTCTCCATTCTGGACAGAATTCGCTCAATACAGAACGAATCTACTAACGAAGAAGAATTGGAAGTCACCATGGAAGGATTAAATCCGAATCCTCTCATTAATATCATCCACGATATTCGCAGCACAATGAAGTCACTCTGCCGAACCGAGGAACACGAAAAATGAAAATTAAAAATGGAGTAGCGAGGCTCGATTATCTGCCGCGTTTACAACGGAATATTATTCCCAAGGGAATCACCGATGGGAGTCAATTAAGAAACACGCGAAACAAAGAGTGAAAGGATTGAATCTAAGCAATTAATATCGCGAAGTTTGACGTTGTCTAATTGGGGAAAGATGGTCGGAAGAGGCTACAAGATGGGAAGGGGCGGCGGGGTCTGTTGAATGAAAACTCGTTCCCATTGTCAGGCTCGCGAGCGAACAGTTTATTTCCAGTCGTCAATGGGGATGAGAGAAAGAGAACGCAGGGGGAAAAGGACTCGTTCCGGAGACCACGTATAACCGAAGAGCCGACTGAAAATAGCGCGTCCGCTTCGCGGAAATAACGAGTCCGACGCGGCACGGCTCGGCGTCTTGTACCGTGACCCAGAAAACACGTGCTCTATGTCGTTGGCCACCAAGCATAAGCACACGCCGTGATCCGTCCAACGACACGGAACAATCCCTCGGAGAAATACGAACAAGCCCATCGCTGATTAACTCGATGCGCATCGTTAACTCACCGCGAATGTTTTATGCAAAATAATGTCTGTGAACGTAATCAAAGTACAACCTGAACGAACAACATAAATAACTAGTTAACAAAACAATATAAAATCGTTTGATTTTTCTACTTCTATTATTACTATAATAAAATTGTACACAGGAATTGAAAGTTTTCCATCGAACCTCGTTACGAGCTGTACGTTCGTTCCCCCAAAAATCGGAATTCGTTTATACCATCCTATCGGGCCTGCAAAAGTTGGTTGGATACTTTTCAGTTTTTCAACTTTCAGTTACTGTTTTAATCACGAAACAAGCATCCGCTCTGTTAGATACTGACGGGAATTTGTTACGCGTTAATTAAATTTATTCGAAAAGTAGGAAAACGGAAATTAACTATCCACGTGCTTCATATCGTGTCATTTTGCGCCTGAGAAGTCACGGTACTTTTCTTCAACGCTTTATTGCGTATCGTGTTTGATGGAAGACTTTCTGCCAGGGATAATGCATCGGATCTCGAGAAAACATATCAATGTCCAGAGCCGAACATCTGGCCGTTGAAAACGTTCGCGGGAATATTTCAAGTGGACAAACATCGCGTCCGTAAAACGGAGCCGAAGGCGGGCCAGAAGACAGAAATAATATATGTATATGTATTTACGGCGATGGAGAACTCGCGGACTGTACACTGAGACGTGGGTTTGTTTTATTTGATGGAGCATTGTTGTGTTTCGTAACGCGATATGTTTCCGTACATCTTCATCCTCATCCAGCAGCG